GCTGCTGCTCTTCAGGCTGCAGCAGCAGACCCTGTGGGCTTCATCTCTGTTTACACAAATTTCTTTCCCTTGCGAAAGCGATGGTTAGTGCGAGCTCTGCTGCTGCTGCTGCTGCTGCAGTGTTGCTGCTGCTGCTGCCGTGTTGCTGCTGTTGCTGCTGCAGCTGCAGTGTTGCTGCTGCTGCCGTGTTGCAGCTGCAGCTACAGTGTTACTGCTGCTTCAGTGTTTCTGCTGCTGCAGTGGTGCAGCTGTTGCTGCTGCTGTTAGTGCCACTGCCGCTGCCGCGGGTGCTGCTACTGCTGCCTCAACTGTTGCTGCTGTTGCTGCTGCTGCTGCTGCTGCTGCTGTTCAGAAGACCCTTTGCCTGCTTCTATGCCCCGCGAGACTCGCCAGGAGATTGATTGCCGCTGTCTCCTTTTCTTAAACCGTCTCAAAGACCTTGCAGAATCTGTTGCTGCTGCTGCTGCTGCTGCAGCAGCAGCTGAAAAGGACGGGCAGGCGATTTGCCCTCGCTGCAGCAAGCCGCTGTCTCCAAACTGCAGCAACAGCAACAGCAGCAGCAGCAGCAGCAGCAGCAGCAACGCAGAAGACAACATTGATGCCACACCGACCACCACCAGCACCACCCCCAGCAGCAGCAGCAGCACAACCACCACCCCCAGCAGCAGCAGCAGCAGCAGCAGCAGGAGCAGCTGCATTACCCCTACCAACATGAGCAGCAGCAGCACCACCACCGCCTTCAACAGCAGCCTGAGCAGCAGCAGCAACAGCAACAGCAGCAGCAGCAGCAGCAGCAGCAGAATACGGAGAGTAGAGGTGCTTGTTGTAACGCACAGCGCTTGGCTGCGAAGCTTGCTGTCTCTTTTGCTGCTGTATGCGCCTTCATCCAGGGCCTTTCATAACTGCGAATGGAGACACTTAAACTTTTGTCGTCTCTCTCTTCTGCATTTACTTCCGCGAGCAAAACAAAGGGTATATATATATATCTATATAATATATATATATATATATGTTTATATATATATATATGTTTATATATATATTATATATATATATATACATTTATATATTTATATATATATCTATATATTTATATATATATATATATGTGTCTTTGTCTTTTCTATTTTTTATTTTTGCTGTTTATTTAGCGCTTTGTTTGGTTTTGTTAGGTGTATCTGTATTTATAGATAATATATATAATATGTTTATATATATATATATGTATATATATATGTTTATATATATATATATAGATTCTATATATATGTTAACAAAAGATGTATATATGGGCGTAGGGTTTACGAATGCATGCATATAAATATAAATAAAATAAATAAAATAAATATATATATATATATATTTATATTTATATATATATATATTTATATTTTTAATGTTAATATTGTACATTATGTACAGTTAATTTATTTTGCATGTTAAATATATTAAATGTAATAAAAATAAATTTATTAATATATTAAATATATGAAGGTCATTACATGTATACGAATAATATATTATGTATATTTATGTATATATATAATATATATATGTATATATATAGTATATATTTATGTATATATATATACATTGTTATATCTATATATATGTAGTTATATATATTTATGTATATGTATATATATAAATAAATATGTATACATATAGTTATGTATAATTGTGTGTATATATATGTATATTTGTGTACATATGTATACATATAGCATATATATATAAACATATATATATATATTTATTTATTTATTCATTTATATTACACCATCTTCTTCTGGTGTCTGCATGCAGGCCTTAGCGCCCCGCGTGTCTTCTCCTTTTGCTGAGCTGCCTTTAAAACCTGCAGCAGCAGCAGCAACAACAGCAGCAGCAGCAGTAGTAGCAGCAGGAGCAGCAGCAGGAGGAGCAAAGCGATGGCGTATCTCGTCTCTTTCTTCTTTGCTGCAGCTGCATGCGCAGCAGCCTCTTACTGTTCTTCTTTACCCTCCTAAAGAGACATCAAAAGAAATTGCTGCTGCTGTGCAGCAGATTCGATCGTGGATTCAGCAGCAGCAGCAGCAGCAGCAGCAACAGCAGCAGCAGCAGCAGCAGGTGATGGAGGAGGCGCACGCTGTGTCTTTGCCTTTATGGCCTGCCTTGCAGCAGCAACAAGAGCAGCAGCAGCAGCAACAGCTGCTGCTGCAGCAGCAGCAGCTGTTGACTGATGGGTTAGACTGCATTCGTCGCGTCGCAGTAGAAGAGGTTTGTTTATCCCTGCAGCAACAGCAGCAAATGCTTCCTTTTGTTTGTTCTTTATAATAATATATTTATTATATTTTATTTATTTCTTCTGTCATTTAAAGCACCAATTGAAATGCATGCAGAGGCAGGCTCTGCTGCTGCTGCTGTTGCTGCTGCTGCAGCTGCAGCTAGCAGCTTGGCTGCCTTCTATTGCTTGTTTTCTCTATTAGTATGAGTAATAATAATAATAATTATTATTATTATT